AGACATGGATGACAGAGTCTGGTGTGGATGAACTTGACTGGCCTGCACAGAGTCCTGACCTCAACCCGATAGAACACCTTTGGGATGAATTAGAGCGGAGACTGAGAGCCAGGCCTTCTCGTCCAACATCAGTGTGCGACCTCACAAATGCGCTTCTGGAAGAATGGTCAAAAATTCCCATAAACACACTCCTAAACCTTGTGGACAGCCTTCCCAGAAGAGTTGAAGCTGTTCTAGCTGCAAAGGGTGGACCGACGTCATATTGAACCCTATGGATTAGGAACGGGATGTCACTTAAGCTCATATGTGAGTCAAGGCAGGTGAGCAAATACTTTTGGCAATATAGTGTATAATTAATTAAAATTTTGGCCGATGACATCACCATTTCTCCATTACGCTCCGATTTTATCCAAAGTGGGGCTTTCAGATCACCTCGGCAGAACCACAAAGCTTTAAGACTTGGATAACTTTTGTTATAACTGTCATTTCTATCATTTCGTTTGTGAATACAAAATGAAAATAAAGTTTGTATAAGTAGGTCTAATGTAAGTGAGTGAAAAAGCTAAATGTCCCAAGAGAGAAAAACAAAACAAAGACAAATATTTGGGATCGTTGGACCAATTTAAAAATAATCAGTGTTCTCCAGCGCCGATGCCACCAGAACCAACGCCGATTCCACCAAAACCAGCACTGATGCCACCAGAACCAGCACCGATGCCACCAGAACCAACACTGATGCCACCAGAACCAGCACCGATGCCACCAGAACCAACACCGATTCCACCAAAACCAGCACCAATGCCGCCAGAACCAACACCGATTCCACCAAAACCAGCACTGATGCCACCAGAACCAGCACCGATGCCACCAGAACCAACACCGATTCCACCAAAACCAGCACCGATGCCACCAGAACCAGCACCGATGCCACCAGAACCAACACCGATGCCACCAAAACCAGCACCGATGCCACCAGAACCAGCACCGATGCCACCAGAACCAACACCGATTCCACCAAAACCAGCACTGATGCCACCAGAACCAGCACCGATGCCACCAGAACCAACACCGATTCCACCAGAACCAACACCGATTCCACCAGAACCAGCACCGATGCCACCAGAACCAGCACCGATGCTACCAGAACCAACACCGATGCTACCAGAACCAACACCGATGCCACCAAAACCAGCACCGATGCCACCAGAACCAGCACCGATGCCACCAAAACCAGCACTGATGCCACCAGAACCAGCACCGATGCCACCAAAACCAGCACTGATGCCACCAGAACCAGCACCGATGCCACCAGAACCAACACCGATTCCACCAAAACCAGCACCGATGCCACCAGAACCAGCACCGATGCCACCAGAACCAACACCGATGCCAACAAAACCAGCACCGATGCCACCAGAACCAACACCGATGCCACCAAAACCAGCACCGATGCCACCAGAACCAGCACCGATGCCACCAGAACCAACACCGATTCCACCAAAACCAGCACCGATGCCACCAGAACCAGCACCGATGCCACCAGAACCACCGCCGATGCCACCAGAACCAACGCCGATGCCACCAGAACCAACGCAGAGGCCACCACAACCAACGCCGATAAAACCAGAACCAACACCGATGACACCAAAACCAGTGCAGATGGCACAAAAACCAGCACCGATGCCACCAGAACCACCACCGACGCCACCAGAACTACCATCAATGCCACCATCAACTCATTGACTCTTCAGCAATCCCTCACACTAAGCATGCTTGTAGCAACAGTGGAGAGGAAAAACTCCCTTTGAACAGGAAGGAACCTCCAGCAGAACCAGGAGGTGAAATCCAGCTCCAGACAAGCTTTGAATGTTGTGATGTCATCAGTGCGCTTCTGTTCCAATTGACCGAGATTTATCCTGCGTGCTCCCATTCTCCCTTAGTCCATACGTTCCTGGGTTCTCGTCAAGAACGGACTTGGCAAGAACACGAGTCCGTACTCATGTTCTTGTGAATTGAGGCCTGCAAGAATGTGACAGAGAAGTCAGGCTTGTAGCTACATCTCTATCATGCATCCAGCCAACGCTAAGGCCCATTAGAGAATTTGTTTTATGCAAAATCCTGAACCGTAGAGATCCCTGCAATGAAGGACACAAACACAAAAACTCACTAACATTCCACTGATAAGAACACTGAGACAATACCACTAGGTTCCAGTGTTTGTTTCCTCATGATGATCAGATTTGTTTGGGAGGCGACTAAACACAGGCAATACCTTTAACACAATATGTTGTGGAAATGATGGTGATAAAGTAAGTATAAAACTAGGGCTGAAACAATCGTATTAATCATGATGAATCGATTATTGAAATAATCAACTACTTTAGTAATCGATTAATCGTTAACTGGAGTATAGAGATTGTAAAACATGCCTTTAGCTGACAGAGCAACCAACTTAAAGCAGGAATTATACCAAAATTGTAATGTATATATATATATATATATATATATATACATATATATATATATATATATACACATACATTTTGCGTTTACGAGAAATATAACTTCTTCGTCTGTCAATCTGCTCTATCCGGAATTCCTCAAGTGGAAACGTTTTAGTTTCACCTGGTTACCTGGTCACAAAAAGTCTTCTTTCACGAACCTTTGGCTATCTGATTATTAATCGAAAAAAATTATCGATAGATTCATCGATTTGATAAATAAGTGTTAGTTGCAGCCCTGTATTAAACCCATTCACCTTGTTGGCTTAAAATATATCCCTGCGGACAGACTGTGCTCCATGAAAACAAAAACTGCTCTAAACTTAAAAAAAAAAGACAAGAAGTAGTTTAAAAGTATTGCGGAGGATTGCCGCGCATTTTTTTAAAGACCCGCCCTCTCCACTTGAATAAATGCATGTGCGAGAGCATGCACGAGCCCATTTCTCCTCATGCACGCTCTGTTTAAAAGTTTGTGTTCTCATAGCTCATCCAAGCTTACTGTGTCTGACTGTCCGCCCTAACCCCTAAATCCCCACATCATTATATAGAGCGGGGACTATATGGTGAACTTTATATTGAACTTAGTTAGCTGAACGTTTAGACAGATGATTACAGCTTTTTGCTCCCCGTTGGTCACATAACTCCTCCTCCTTTGTTATTAGCCACCGCTGTCGGGTAGTGACCGTCACTACCTGATCTGTCCTGGAAGCACGATCCCTCCTGCACATGCTCCAACAGAATATCTTCAGGGTAGGCAATACTCTGTTTTTCTTACTTTTTTTAATTATTCTGTTTTTTTCCGACCGGATTTCCTTTAAAGAATTTTTTTTATTTGCATAAATATTGCATATTCTAAAAACAAAATAGGGCAATACATTAAAAAAACCACTTAATTAGCCTTTGGAACGTTACTGTGACTGCTCTGTGCATGTCCTATGATGGCGTCACGCAATACAATGGAGACAATGTAAAACGTATTACTTCCAGAAAAGTCTTCAATATTTTCTATAGAATGTAGTTTAGCATTCTGTAATGTTTTAAGTATATAAAGAAGTTTTTTCAGGACCGTTATTACATAAGTTTTTGGTGATCCGGATCTTATTATTCTGTTAGCGCACAGGAAGGATCGGGTAGTGACAGCGACAGAAGGCCGCTGTGACAGCAAATCCCATAATGCTTTGCGAGGATAACTCTCTGTGCAAAGCATTCTGGGATACATCTGCCTCTTCTGAGGCCTTTCTCTTCTTCTCATACTCTTCATAGACACTTTTTCTCTTCCGACCCTCGTCCATTTTTAAAGAAAAGGTGAGCTTCAATGACTGTCGGAAACCGTAGCTCACCACAGATATATGCCTGAAAGTGTGCAGAAAAAGATGGCTAACGGGACGAGCATGTAGGACGGCCTTACGTAAACATCGCCAGAATGATTGACAGTTAGAATGACCAATAATTGAGATGATCCACCTGGAAATAAAAGATCCTCCCCTATAGCTTCAACTTCACTGCTAGAAAGGACAAAAAGGTTGCATTTAGACATTTTGCTTTCCCCCCCCAGTGTTTTATTGTCCTTACACGGTTACAAGTACAGAGCAACTAAATTCCCTCTCTGCCTTTAACCCATTCCCTTGGGGAGCAGTGGGCTGCCATTGTGCGCCGCCTGGGGAGCAGTGTGGGGTTAAGGGTGTTTGCTGAGGGAGCCAGAGTGGCAGTCTGTGGGAGTGGGTTTAAAACTCACATCCTCAGGATTCCAATGCCCTATGCCCTAACCACCAGGCCGCCACTCCCCCAGCGGTGACAGAGATAAAGTAATAAAAGATGGTCTCCTTGAAGCAACAGTGGAAAAACTGACCAGAGAGTAAAAACAACAATCCTGATCACAACATTCCCACCACCTTCGGTTATAGTTTATAGTTAATGGGATGAACTCAACACTATTTGGAAAAATCTTCCTGGATGGGAAGAGAAACGTCTTCAAACTTGGAAACAAAGTCCAGTGGATTGTTTTTGAACTTTTTTGGCATGACTCTGACCTGATGACCGAGAATCTTCAGCAGCAAATTTCCAACCAGGGTTTGTGGATCCTGTACTTAAACTGATCTGCTTACAGCTATAATCCCAGCACCTGCAGACTGACCTACTGACAGTAGCTCTGTTTTCACCTGTGGGGATGTTTGCATCCTGCAGGTCATCTCACCTTCCTTTCTCATGTGCTGAATTTATAATTGGTGAACAGAGAAGGACTCCCTAGATCCATCTTTGACTTTATTCCAACTATTTATTTTAGTCTGACTCTGAACTAACAGCTAATGAGATCCGATCTATAAAGGAATCAGCTGCAGCAGGACAATAAATAGCTAAACTCCTCTATGGAGGAGATGTGTTGCTAAAGCTCATCCATTCAAACTGGATGTTTCCTAAATGCACCGTTAGCTGCTCCCGGTGTGAGTGGGAACCACAGCAGAACCAGGAGGCTAGCCGGGGAAGAGCTAAGAGGCTAACCTGGAGCTCGGCCCTCTCCACTTCCCAGTGTGCCCTCTCGATCTCGAACCGGGCCCACTCGTGTTGGATGTAGTGCAGGATCCCGGGAATAGTGTACTGCTGATGAGGCCGAGGCAGGTCTTCGTTCTGCTGCGGGACCATGACCGCTCCGATAGGGGGACCGCCGCTGCTGCTGCCGCTGCTCCCCTGCTGGTGCTGCAGCGGTAAAGGCGACTGTCTCGAGGCGGCCGCTCCTCCTCCTCCTCCGGAGTGTTCCTCCATGTTTTAATGTTTTTGTTTGGAATTAGTGTTTGGAAATCGGTTAGTATTCAACCAAGAGAACGAGAGGAGTCTGCCGGGGGGTCTGCTGCGGTGTCACCGCGGAGGTGCTTGAGGCTGGCTGCCCCTCAGCGTGTCGGGGAGTCCAGCTGGGTGTAAATGCGGTGTTTACGTGTAGCTCTAACCGGTCGCCATCTCTGTTCTCCTGAAGAAGCGGCCGCGCTGCATGACGGTACATCCACCGGGATTCTCCTCTTCGGCTGAGATTTTTCCTGCTGGTTGGCAACAAAGGAGCAGGGTTAACAGCGCCCCCTGCTGGTGTGGTATGCAGATTTTATTTTTTTCCCCCTACGATATTATTATTATTATTATTATTATTATTATTATTATTATTATTATTATTGTTGTTGTTGTTGTTGTTGTTGTTGTTGATTATGTTGTTGTTATTGTTGTGGTTGTTATTATTATAATTGTTGTTGTTCTTGTTCTTGATGTTATTGTTGTTGTTATTATTGTTGTGGTTGTTGTTGTTATTATTATTATTATTATTGTTGTTGTTGTTATTATTGTTGTGGTTGTTATTATTATCATTATTATTGTTATTATTGTTGTGGTTGTTATTATTATCATTATTGTTATTATTATTGTTATTATTATCATCATATGGTTATAATTTGCCGGCCCAGGTTGCTTCTATGTTGTATTTATGGATGATCTGACGTTGACTAAATTAGGCTGAGGTCCTTTGCAGCGAGCAGCCCCCTGCTTCAAACCTTCTATGACTCTGTGGTGGCATCAGCCCTCCTCTACGTTGTTGTCTGGGCCCCTGGCAGCGCAGAGCGGGACAGAAAGAGACTGAACAAACTGGTGAGAAAGGCTGTTTCTGTCCTCGGCTGCACTCTGGACTCAGTGGAGGAAGTGGCTGAGAGGAGGGTGCTGTCCAAGCTTCCATCCATCATTGGCAAGACCTTCCACCCTCTGCAGCAGACTGTAAAGGAGCTGAGCAGCTACAATGCCACACTACAACAGCAATGACTTGTGAAATGTATAATGTGCAATTACTATTTGATACCCTGCGTAATAACTATATAGTATATAAATATACATCTATATAAATACCCATGTAAACACTCTGTGCAATAACCCTGTATAAAAAAGCTACTTTGGCACATTCATTTTCTTTGACTGTTTGAGCTGATGAAACGAGTAAATTTCTCCCCTGTGAGATAAGAAGTCAGCCAATCAATCAAAAGGTAAGTATGCATACAGCTCTTGTTCAAGTCAGGAGACTGACCAAAGTGCTTTACACCTCATTCAGCCATTCACTCATTCACACAACTGATAGTGGCAAGCTACATTGTAGCCACAATCAGGGGGGGGTTACCATTTGCTGCACATGTTCAGAAAGGTCCAAACAGACAGCAGCAAACCATTTGAAAACAAACGATGCTAAGAGAAGTGTTGCCAACTTAGCACTTTAGTCGCTATATTTAGTGACTCTTCAGACCCCTCTAGCACTTTGATTTAAAAAAGCACACATTTAAATTGATACCAAAGCAACAAACAATAAATGTTTGAAAATAAAACAAATTTGTGTGTTTTCTGGACCTTTCTATTTCTATGTCTGCTTCTGTCTCCTTGAACCCCAGTCAGCCTCAGCAGATGGCCGCTCACACTGAGCCTGGTTCTGCTGTAGGTTTCTTCCTGTTAAAAGGGAGTTTTTTTTTCTTTCCTCTGTCGCTACAATCATGCTTAGTGTGAGGGATTGCTGAAGAGTCAATGAGTCGATGCAATCAGCTGGTTTTCCTTGGATAGAAAAGTTTGAAGCAATCTGACTGGATGATCTGGTGAACTGTAAAGTGACCTGAGATGATATATTTTGTGAATTGGTGCTATAAATGAACTGGATTGAATAAATGCTTTTTTACATTTAGATCTATGATGAATGTTTGATGGGGCCCCATCAAACATGGGCCCCATACATGGTAACTCTGTTTGGTATGGTTAATACAACTATTCCATATTTGTGCACATTAATTGTGTTTTGATCAAAAAAATTCTTTGGCTAAAGTTTCATATTAAGTGTGTCAGGCCACTGCCCACCCGCACCCGCCCGTTTTTGTACCATGTTTTTCTTCTCCCACACTGTTTACATTTGATCACTGCTGCACTTTATGGAATGGAAATGTTCATTTACTGTCTGAAAAACTGCACTAAACAAAATTTCAAATTTTGTTTTATCTACACTGTGTATACAAAATGACAATAAAATGTGTCTAAGTCTAAGTCAGAGCAGAACAGCCTGAAACTTAAAAAAAAAAAAAAAAGTCATTATGGTGGAAGTGATTACACACTTAATTACCAACTACATAGTCTGGTGAAGGTTGCAAATGATATTCTCCTGGCCTCAGATAATGGATTTGTATCTGTGCTCGTCCTGTTGGATCTCAGTGCTGCATTTGATCCAGTTGATCATAATATTCTATTAGAAAGACTTGAATGTTTTGTTGGAATTAAAGGAACAGAACTAGACTGGTTTAAATCTTATCTATCTGATCGATTTCAGTTTGTTCACGTTAAAGATAAATCTTCCTCATGCTCAAAGGTTACCTGTGGAGTACCACAGGGATCAGTGCTAGGACCAATTCTCTTTACTATATACATGCTCCCAATCAGTAGAGTTATTAGACAGCATGGGATTAATTTTCACTGTTATGCTGACGATACCCAGCTATATCTGTCTATAATCCAGATGAAGCTAACCCATTACATAGATTACAGGCATGTCTGAAGACATAAAAACCTGGATGACTCTTAACTTTCTCCTTCTGAATGCAGACAAAAAAGGAAGTTATAGTCTTTGCAGTCTTTGAAAAAGAAGTTGATTAGCCAGTCACTTCATTTGGATGGGATTAAAGGGATTTTAGATAATAAAGGAAAAGATGTTGTTGTTGTTTTTGATCAGGACCTGTCATTTAAATCCCATATCAACGAGATTTCTAGAATTTCCTTCTTTCATCTGAGGAATATTGAAAAAATAAAAAATCTCCTGTCCAGGGGTGATGCTGAGAAACTAGTCCATGCATTTGTTACTTCAAGGCTGGACTATTGTGATTCTTTACTATCAGGAAGTCCACAAACTGAAGTTAAAAGCCTTCAACTGATCCAGAATGCTAAATATAAGCTTTATCAAAAAGGAAAGTTTTAAGCCTATCCTTGAAAGTAGACAGGGTGTCTGCCTCACAGACTAAAACTGGTAGTTGGTTCCACAGGAGAGGAGCCTGATAACTAAAAGATCTGCCTCCCATTCTACTTTTAGAAATTCTAGGAACCACTAGTAAACCTGCAGATTGAGAGCGAAGTGCTCTGTTAGGAACATAAGGAACAATCAGATCTCTGATATAAGATGGAGCTTGGCCATTTAAGGCTTTATAGGTGAGAAGGAGGATTTTAAATTCTATTCTGGATTTAACAGGAAGCCAATGAAGAGAAGCCAGGATAGGAGAGATGTGATCTCTCTTTTTCATTTTCATCAGAACTCTGGCTGCAGCATTTTGGATCAGCTGAAGGCTTTTAACCACAGTTTGTGAACTGTAAGAAGTATAAATGCAACAAAGATAAAGATATCGACTAAATATAGGTTCCCTCTGTGTGAAGATCTTTTATTTATATCTATTATCTTTATATCTATTATCTTTACATATTGGATTAGACTGGATGCCCTCTGGACTCAGTGCAGGAGGTTGGAAACAGACGGATCCTGACTAAACAAACATCTCTGTTGGATAATGTATCCCACCCCATGCATGAAGCTGGTGCTGAACTGGACAGCTCCTTCAGTGACAGACTGCTGCACCCTGAATGCACCAGGGAGCGTTATCACAGATCCTTCCTCCCAGCAACTAGAAGACCCTAGAACAGGCATCCCCAAAGTCAGTCCTGGAGGGCCGCTGTCCTGCAGGCTTTAGAGATTTCCCTGCTTTAGCACAGCTGATTATGACGATTGCAGTTCAGCAAAAGCCGGTTAATCAACTATCAATGAAAATCAGCTTTGCTGGAGCAGGGAAACCTCTAAAACCTGCAGGACAACGGCCCTCGTGGAACAACCTTGGGGATGCCTGCTCTAGAACCACCACTGCTCACAACAACCTCAATAAATTGTTACATTCATGCTTATTTTGCACAGTTTCTACCTTAGTCAGTTAAATAACATGTTACTGTAATTTTTGCACATCTCTGATGTTGCTGCTATTTTAAAATATCCATTACTAAAAAATCTCCATAGCTGTGTATTGGTTATTGTTGGATTAATTGTACAAGTTATTCTACTTTAATCATATTATACTTATACATTCATATTTACACATTTGCATATTCCTGTATACTTGTATTACACAAAGTGTTGAAATGTTTCACTTGCTGTCTTTCTAATGCTTGTTATTAGTGTGTGCAGGAAGCAAGGTCAGGAGAATGGAGGATTGCACGTACTGGCACCGGATGGGGAGTGAAGCACTCCTTATCTCATGATATTGTATGATGTGATGCAGAACTTCTGGTACCGACTGGGTTTCAACCCCTCCCTTTAGCAGTCGGAACCAACATTGTAGCCAGGGCGTTTCCTTTAATAAAGGCTTGGAGGGCAGAGCTGTTTCAGAGTGGTTTGGAGAATTGTAACTGAACAGTCTCTGATCACTCTCCTTGCAAGTAAATCATACTAAAATTCTCTGTGTCTTTATTTTTACAGGTTACTGCATAAAATGTTTGGTGTTTAAACCTAACATTAATTGGTCCTTCGAGCCGGATTGCAAGATACCCGACGACCCCCAGCAGGTGAGTGAGATCCAGATAAGCCTGCGGCCGCAGCAGAGAGGCCCTTTACGGGACTGGTCTCTCCCTTACAGGCTGGGGTCCGACGGTTGAAGCATTTCGAGGACGCAGAGAATTGTGAGTAGTTTTTCTTTTAATAAGGAGTGAGTGAATTATTGGAAGAAAAATATATAAAAATATAAAAAATTTATAAAAATATAATAATATAAAAAAAAAAAAAAGAAGTGAAGGGCGTGGGGTCACGAGATTCACCTTTTGTACTAAAACCCTGACAATTCTAGACTCTATCAGGTAAAACAGAAATTTTAAAACAGTTAAAGTCCGCGGGAGGGCAGGCTCCCCTAGTTTGTAAGGGCAGGCTCCCTGAGTTGTAAACTAGTTAAATTCTGCATAGGATAGCGGCGTCCTCTGTGTTTAAAATAAAGTAAAA